AATTTTCATAGATGGCAGTTACGAAGGCCATGCCACGAACTATTGGCATGGTGATCTTTTGAGTAGCGGAAAATGATAAAGTAGCTACGATCGAAAAATCAGTAGGATCCGAGAGAAGTAGATCTGGTAATTTCGGTAATTCATTTGCAGAGATCGCAATGCTCGGTGTGTATACGCTGAAAAAAAATTGAACGGGGTCGGCATTTGGATCGGGTCCCAAGGTCTAAAATATCACGGAAGCATGGAGGTTAAAAAAATTAAAAGGTAAAATGCGCGGGAAAAGGTGCCGTAATGATGGCATGAAATGATACCTTTTGATAATCGTCAACATTACTAATACTGAAACCATTCAAAGCACCATCTGGATTGGATTCAAATCTTAATGCATAAGGTAAAGGAAAAACGGGATTTGGATTAAGGTTGGTATCTACTAATAAATTTGTATAAAATTTATTCGTTGGAATTGGTTTATTTGATTTGGCAAATTCCGGGTCTAATCGTCGTGGTGGTTGCGGATGTGGTTTTGATATAAAAAATGATGGTGGTGCTTTTGTTGATATAGGTTCCAAAAGAGGTGATAAGGCTGCACGAGGCATAATGTGTCCGATTCGATATGAAAAGACGGATGATGTAAAAAAGAATAGGGACAAGACTAAAATTGGCAACATTGTGATGTGATTAAGGAAAGTGAAAAAATAAATTAAAATTAAGCAAAGTTAGCTTTATGTAAAGATCTATCTCAATAATAAAAAACGAGAATTGAACAAATTTGACGTTATTTTTATATAATTTTTTCGTTGAACTCGTATCACAACAATTTAATTCGATTTCCATTTTCAGGTAGTTTCTTTCCTGTCGGTTTACTAAGCGCATATGATCGTTAAATGCCAGATTTAGTATCATACTTTAAATATTGAAAGCTTACGCTTAAATAAGGAAATTTAATTAATTTAAACAAATGAAATTTTTGTTTTTCTCCAGTGACAGAATTTCGTTTATAGAAAATGAAGATGATTTCCCAATATATGGACTCCTGATTGAATTTGAGGATTACGCCAATTAGTGTAACAAAAAAAAAGGGCATGAATATATTTGTAAATCAAGTATGGACCACAAAAAAGGCAAGTTCAACTGAAGATTTTTTTTTTTATTAAATATCAAAACTTATGAAATTAATATCTTGGACTAATACAAAATTAATGTAACAAAGTATCAGAAAGCAATTAATATCGAAATCATTTGAATATCAAATGAATATCAAATTTAAACATATTTGAATATCAACATCATTTTGAATATCGAAATTTATATATTTTTTAGGGATCTTTAAGGGAAAAGGCAATTTGTGAAGGTTCTTTCGAATT